TCGGTTTTTCTTTACGCATTTTGAATTTTATTATTTTTAGACCAAGAAGTCTTTTCTTTTATTTTTAGGGACATCAAGAGTATTTTCACAGTTCATTCCAACGTACACACAAGCACGTTGATGATAAAACTTCACGTTGAAGGAGCTTGGTCCGGGCTTTCGTTTTCGTACGCTTTTTCTTTTTGTGTTTTCTTTTTGTTAAATGTTCTTTACTTACGACAAATCCTTGTGAGCTACTAAGGCCTTACTTGAAGACTGGATGGTAGGGTTGAGAAACCAACGGCTGGGATGCTCGCGTTGAGGGCGGCAACGCGCACGTAAATAAGCATCTCCCAGCGTTGAGCAACTCCCCGAGCAATCCCCAGTCCAAGGGTTCCGCCGAGGCATCTGACAGGAAGCGTCAATACTTATCACTCCCCCACCTATTCCTACTGGACTCCGGGACTCCAGTAGGATTCCTACTGGATTCCTACCGGATTTTGACAAAATTTCCAAAAAGGCATTTTCACATATTTCTCCATTCCCCCTCCTACTGGACTCCTACTGTCCTCCTACTGGACTCCTACTGGACTCCAACTGGACTCCTACTGGACTCCAACTGAACTTAAACAAATTAGATGAAATGCTCCACACATTGAAGTCCTACTGGATTCCTACTGGATTCCCACTGGAATATCAACTTCAATGTATTACCAAGTCAGAACTTCAAATTTCTATTCAAAATTCACATTTAAACAAATGTTGTATTGTGAAATGACAACTAAATACAGAAAGATATTTTACTAATGTAATGAGGGAGGGGGAGGGAGTGATGGAGTGATGGAGGGAGTGGTGGAGGGAGAGAGCTATGGAAGGAGGGGAAGTGAGTGAAGTGAAATGATGGAGGGGGGAGGGGGTGAGAGAGGTGGAGAGAGGAAGAGAGGGAGGGAGGGAGGAAGAGAGGGAGGAAGAGAGGAAGGGAGGGAGGAAGAGAGGGAGGGAGGGAGGAAGAGAGGGAGTAGTGTTTGAAAGTCCGGTTTGGTCCGGTTTTTTGATGCCCAGGGGCGTTAACCGTAACCGTAACCGGTCTGCCTTTTCCCCAGAAGTCAAAAGACCAGACCGGACCGCAAAAAGACCGCAGACCGCGGTTTTTTGCGGTCTATAGACCGGTTTCGGTCTGCATCAGTTTTAACCGGTTTATGACCGGTCTTTAGGCCAATATTTTAAAATTATGAATCGGTAAATTTATTAACATCTCTAATAGCTTCAAAACGAGCCCAAGAACGTTAAATCCCGTTAGGTATTGGTGCTTCTATAAAATAAGTCTGGTACATCTATTATTCCCAAAAGTAATTTACATTTTAATTCATATCTCTCTCGTTTTT